TTCAAGACATGTTTGCATTGCTTAATGTTAGAGCCACTCATAAGGCATATACTCTTGAATGAGCACTGCATCCTATAAAATGTCCCTGCGCTTTCCATAGTGGCATTTTGCTAATATAGCCACTAATTGGTGCCTGAAGTGCAATACGCTGCTGCCGACATTTCTCCAACAGTGCAACCATGACTATATCATGAAATGCCTTTGCTTCGTGGATTCAAAATCCTCACTGAATGTAGTTAAACCTGCCAGCTAGCATGAAAAAAAAAAAAAAGCCGTGAAAGTACAGATTTTCCTGAGAATCTTCTGGCACATGTGGTGTCTGTAGGTGTGTTCGCGTTAGCATGCCTGGTCCATCTGCAAACCAGGGACTTTCTTCAACAGCACTTCCATGCGTTGTCCAGCTAGGTGTGTGTGTTCCCATTACTCCTTGTCATAAAAATAATATACGCGATTTATTTTTTATCCGTAGAGGTCTGAGGGAGTGTATGACTGCGGGTGTATGTGAGTTGAATGGTGTCAGAGATTTTACAGATTATTGCTCAACTTTTACTGTCTCTGCCAAGCCAGGGGAACTCCAGCAAGAACAGTTAAGTGCAGTGCTTTAGAATAAAACCCATAGAGCAGTGGAGACATTCAGAACATCACTAATGAGCAGGTCCTTGTTTTGAAACACGTTCAGCATTTTATCTCACAAAGAGACTTCTGAATTACTCTAGTAAACATGCTGTGTGGGAAGGCTTTCGCTTTACTTTAATGACAGGACTCAGTGCTCATTAAAGTGTAAACATTCGTAGTTTGACCATAATCAAGACTGATTATGCTTGAGAGGTGTCTGCTTGGACTAACTAGTGGAAGATTGCATGCATCTATTCACAATTTAAAACAAATTATTTTGAAATAGCCACACAAGGGATGAAGATTGGGGGGAATTTTCTTCCCTATTGTCAGATGAGAGCCTCATTCTGCTGAGCAGATCTTAAAGAAGTGAAATTTTAAGGATGGACACTAGCCAAATAAAGTTCAAGACACACACGGATACTCAGAAAGAAGGTAAGTATCTAAAACGAAGGGGAAAAACCCAAACGATAACACTGTGCACACAGAGACGAAGAGAAATTTGAAACAGACACACAAACATGCACCGAGTTCCCCTTCCAGCAGCTACATCATGGGATTGGGTGTGTTACCTCTCTGGATCAGAGTGATTGGCTTACAGTTGCTGCTGGACCAGACGTATGTTATCCGAGTCTTATGCTCTTTTGGATGAACATAACGTTGGATAAGACTTCAGCGTGTGCTGCTCATTTGAAAAACACCCCTCTCCTTTTTGTCCATCTGTTTACTCCTTCTGTTGTTTATGTTTGCTACTGGGAGCCTTGATGATGCCATCTTTTTGCTTTCACTCATGTTTCATTAATTTCTTTACTCTTTCCCACACTTTGTTTTCTACAAAATTCCTGAATTTTATTGTTTCCACCAGGATTTTTCTTTCACTTGTGTTCACAACTTCAGCCTTTTGTTATGTTCTTCTTCCTCACACAAACGAACTATATATTTGGATCTTTTCATCGATGTTAGGTCTCTGACTCTGAGGATTGCAATGCAGCTTGCCTGGTCTATTTGGGCTAGACTGAAATATCTCAGCAACAGTTGGACTTAAAACTTCATACATATTTTCATGAGCCCCAGAGCAGAAATCCTGCTGACTTTACCTTGACCGGTACCATCAGGTTGGCAGTTCTGGTTGTTAGTAAAGTTTAATTCTGAACATTCTGTCTAAAACATATCTGACTTTCACTTTCAGCACTTTTAGGGCGAGGAAGGTGATCTGGATCTTTTTGTTATTCCACTGCTGTTTCAACATG